ATTTATAAATATATATATATATATATATATATATATATATATATATATAATAATAATAATATTTTAAATGTAGAATTAAAATGAAAACGGGTGTAACCGTCGCGAGCACGGTGTGGTCCCCGGATGGGTTTTCCCTTCTCTTAGGGGTGCAGAGCTTCGGAAGTGTTTCTCTATCGTTTCTATTAATTCTACATTTCAGATAAATAGTAGATATACCTTTTGCGGTCGTATATCTGGTGACAGCCGCCGCAAAAATTTTTTTCACCGTTTCGGTTGTCGGGTCTCAGCCGCCACGCTTCGCCGGCAGTGTTTATTTTTTGCCTAGCCATTGAAAATGGGCAACGGAAGCCGTGATGCTTCGATGCAGCGAGGTATCGTTTTTACATTTTTTTCTTTTTTTCCCTTGCCAAAGCATGCCTAATGGAATTTACGGGATTTTACAGGACAATCTTTGATTATAGGTGTATACACGCCGCGTCGTTCGCTCCAAAATAATTCCGACCAGTTGTGAGAGATACCCATGTCTGAGCATACGCTACGACCGCAAATGGTTAATCCAAACCTCCGGCTCTCTTGGTCCCGTTGGTTCGTAGGTTACAATTCCTCCGGTCTTCCTCTGCAACCCACCATACGAGAAAAAAAAAGAAAAAGAGACACTAGAGATTGGCCGGTTCGATCGACGCTTGAAAAATCACGAAATCGCGACCTCGGCTAATTCTATCGAGTTTGCCGTTTTTCCTTACCGTCGATCTTCCGACGCACTTCACGACTCAAAACGACCCCGTATCATTTATGCCAATAATTCTATTTCGTTTGCACGTCGTTTTTAAAAAATATTGAGATTTCTTTCTTACGTAAATGACAATTATCGTAAATGTTACCGTTTGCAAGAAGCTTTGTTCTGAATTCTGCTTGTGATTTTTATAAAGTGGAAATTTATAAAATGGAAATTAAGTAGAGCACATTAGAGAAGTAATATGACGTTTGATACCTGAATCTCGCGCTTTGTTTTATGCTTGCTCGTATGTGTATTTGTTAATTATGCTAAGTGTACATGCAAATATGACTCTATTCGCGTTCTACTGCAATAGTTCATTTTATGTGTGTCACGGCATAAGTATTTATTAAACACGCGAAATTTAAACTCGTCACTATATATACAAGAGATTATCTAGATATAAGTGAAAAACGAATGCAACCAGATTTCATTTGCAATTAGAATTTCGAAACTATAATTTACATTAATTTTCTATGATGAGTTATTTTTGTCATTTAACTCGCGTCATTCCAATCCGTACGAATAACCACTGATACAAATTTTAAAACAATCAGTAGGATTAATTTTGCCTTCACTGCAATTTTCAGATAAGTTATATAAAGTTCAAGTGAAATTCATCGCGTGATTTGATCTCTTTCGTGAATAAGGGTAAGGTGTAAAACTTGACACAAACGAATACGATAATATCTATAAACGTGCGTGTTCCGAATTCAGTTGTTTATCGAATTAATGTTTCACAGTTTCACTTGTTATTATTATTGTTCGTACTAACTGTAAGTGATTCGAAAAATATAAATGAGAATTCTCAAGCTGCAATTACAATGCTTCAAATTATATTCCAATTACAACATATACGTATACTTGAATTCCTTTGTACCATGTACCTCCCCATTCCGCGTGTCGCGTGGACTAAGTTAAGTAAAAGTGGACCGAGTTGAGTAAAAGTCGAGCTCACGAATCGTGCAAAACGGAAGATGCAAACGGTGAATGACTGAACGCCTTCGGCGCCTTCGAGTTACCTGTTTTCGTGGCGAACGGATCCTTGGGATGATTCGTCTTAATGGCGTTCATTCTCCGATTCTGCGGTCCTTGGCCGCCGCCAGTGCATCCGACGCCGGGCGTCTGGCCCATGCCCATGCCCATGCCGAGGCCGTGGGGCCCAGTGGTAACCGTGCCCCCGGTGGACTGCAAGTGCGACATTTGCTGGCCGCATCCTGGGGGCCCGACGGTCCCGGGTCCGCCGGCCACGCCGGGCGGCGCGCCGGGTGCCCTCACACGTGGCTGTTCGACTGGCAATACACGGCGTCTCTTCTTCGGTAGCTTGGCTCGCGCCTGCGTGTGACTGTAATACATCGCAAAGTTGCTAACGATCACGGGCACCGGCAGGGCGATCGTGAGGACACCGGCCAACGCGCAGAGCGCGCCGACAAACATCCCGATGTACGTTTTCGGCACCATGTCCCCGTAACCGACGGTCGTCATCGTCACCAGGGCCCACCACAAACCAAGGGGTATACTCTTGAAGTCGTTCTTCGGATTGTATTGGGTGCGCTCCGCGTAGTACACGAGGCTAGCGAAGATGACAATACCGAGGACGAGGAAGAACACCAGCAGCGTGAGCTCCTTTGCCGAGGCGCGAAAGGTCTGTATCAGGATCTTCAGGCCCGAGGAGTGGCGGGTGAGCTTGAACAGCCTCATTATGCGTATGATGCTCAAGAACTCGAGGATATCGGCGTTCTCCAGGTGGGCCGCAAACCGCTGCAGCGCCAGGTCGACGTAGAAGCTCAAGGTCGCGACCATGTCGATTAGATTCACCGAGCTCTTGATGAAGTCGCAACGATTCGGGCTCGCGGTAATACGTATCAAGAACTCAAGAGTAAACCAGGCGTTACAGATGCATTCGATGTAAAAGAAGACATCATGGGCGTTGGTGCGAGTCTTGTCTACCACCCAGGACGTCACGTTGTCAGTCTTTACCGAACGATTCACGATCATCGGCACTCGCATGTCCGGATGGGTTTTCAAGCAGAACGAAAGTATCGAAACGCAGATGAAGAAAACGGAGACTATACTGATTACCTGAAAGATCCAGACAAACGAGATTAACTTGTAAATGTTATATAGCGGAATACTTTAATAATACAAAAAAGATATGATATACATTACTTATATATTAATAAAAATTAACGGTATACTCATAAAGAAAAAAATTATATTGGCGATGTTTTATATGTAGAATATATTATATGTATTGTATATATAAAATTGAATCAATTTATATAATTATTTACCATTGCTAAAAGATTGAAGATGTGAATTGTGAATAGTTACGACAACTTTATTAGTATAAACTTTTATAAATAAAAATGTTTTTTTTTTTCTCTAAATGTAAATATGTAAGTATATAGTAAAGTAAAATATGTTAATTATAAAATTCAGAATTATGATAAATTTTTTTGTGATATATATATATATAAATGTAATAAATGTAACATATTAATTAAAATTTATAGAAAATAAAAATAAACAAAAAATATATTTTTTACAGATTCAAAGAAAAATTTAATTAACACGCACAAATTAATATTTTAATTAGTATCATAATTATTTGCCTAATATATCAAACTCAAATCGTACCTTAGCTGCGACGGAGGAATAAGGTTCATCGAAAAGTGACCACATCTGAGGTTTGAGCTTCTGCCACCACGTGAGACTTCCCTCGTAGTATGCTTCCTCAAAACCGAATTTCCTGGCCAGTTCCTCGTCGGTGGGCCTCTCAGTGTCGAGGTCCAACCTGTCGAGGACCGTCAGCGTTTCCTGCGTATCCCGGTGCTGCAAGGGCGTCGGGGCGAAGGGGATGGGAAGAGAGACAGATGCAACAACGATTGTTATTCGTACCTGCGAAACTCTTTCTCGAGTGTGCTTTCTTTCGTGCTTTGCCTTGGGACAGATAAAGCGCGCGTGAAAAGCATACGCGAGCCGTTGTGTGCCTCCTCGCGTGAGTGATAAAGATATATCTGCTCGGCTTTGATCAGCCTTACCGGCGGATTTGTCCGATGTTGCATGTACGCTTACTTGAGTCTATCCCACATCGCTCTATCCAAACTAGTTCTCAGATTCTATTTGCTAACCGTATCCTCTTAGACCATGTACTATTGGATCACGCATTTCCTCATTTTTTTATCAACCTCTAAGATGATAACAGAAAAAAATCCATAGAAAGAGATAGGTTTTCTCATTAATACTTAGTATTTATCTATCTTTTTTGTTACGTTTTTTATTGCTTATTTATCATTTTCATCTTAGAGATGTTATCAAACAAATGATCCTATAGTATAGAATTTATGGTCTCCTATTGAAATCCATTTAAGTATAAAATATATCATGTAAGATGTCTCACACTTTTTGTTAAGTAGATTCTAGAAATAAATTAAAATTAATTGCCATTAAAAAAGTAAAACTAAAGGCACTTTGGCAAAAAGATGTTACTACCATGCATGAAAATCTGGCACATTTGTGAGCGTGATAATAAAAGACGTACAGTACTTTCAGACAATATGATAAATCACTGACAAACTTCTCCATTTCATATATTATTCTGAGTCAAAGAAATTATATTACATCTACACATAAGCATATTTCTATTCGTCATTTTAATCTGTTAAATATGTTGGAAAAGTGTTCCAACCTCGGCTAATCTACTTGGCCTTGTGTCGTGTTTACTTTAATCTCTACATCTATATACCGTACTGTACATCACATTATAAATTTACGCGTCTGTTTTTGCGTGCAGCCACGCTTAGGCGTGATTAGGCACGTGCACGACAGTCAGACGTTATTCACGATATACCTGCGTGTAGGTCATCCAACAGCAAGGCTCGACCTGATTCGAGTCAAGACCCCAGAAATCGAGCTCTTCCTCGAAAAGCGGGCCGCATACGTCCGTGGGGTAGTGCAACTTCCCGGTGCGATAGTAGTTGAGTACCTGGGCGAAGACACCCGGGTGTCTGTCAAAGAAGTACTCATTGAGGATCGGGTCGTAGTTGGCGAGGGCCTCGGTCAGCCTCGAGAGCCTCGTCGCCGGGATCTTCTTCAGGGTTGCCTTGTACGTCTCGTGCCGGATTCCGCCCACGTTCAGAACCACGCGGTTCTCCGCGTCCATGTTTATCAAGTTCATTTTGATCACGGCTCTGCTACCGCCGGCCCCGACTTAAAGAAACCCATGCGATCTGCAAACAATTAGCGCTTCCGTCGCGTCATCTAAAATTAGATGGAAAACCGTCGTTTCCCCATCGCGTAGACCTTATATTGATTTTATCGATTATATCCGATTAACCTTCCCAAAGCTCAATCAAGGCTGATACAATTTATACCCTTGTAAACTGAAAATTGACTTATTTGAACAGAAATTAACTTTGAACCGATCGATTTTAATTTAAATCTTATGTGGATCACGTAATAAAATTTGTCAAATAAAAACGTCCAATAAAAGAGATTTTATTTATTAAGCGCAAACTATTCGCGTTCCTGTTTTATTGAAATGCAAATAATTCATTAACATTTTACACGAATTTATGCGATAACATCCGACCGTGTGCAGCTCAGTTACAAATGTAAAACGTACAATTTATGATCTTATTCCGTCATGTTAAAATATCACATCCGTTCATGTGTGCTGATAGTGCCTAAAAGGATCAAGCGAAGCATTCTACGTGTAATGATTTTATCGTAATATATCACCCCGGTTTTACTGACCGGTTGCTTTGACATCCATATAATCTCATTTGGATTATACGGCGTAGCCGACGGAAAGTGTCACAATGGTGTCATTGCTGCTTCAAATCCTGCGTTTGAAAGACTGACGCAAAACGGAATGCGAGAGCTACTCTATTTAACATTACTGTCACGATAATTATGACATTTAACATTTCATTTAAAAAATCCCTTACACATCGATATCATATGGTTTAGGAATACGCTTTACAAATACCAGCGTTAGGATTGCACCGGCTCTCTAAGTCCCGTATCTGTCTCGGAGGAATGTATTCATTCAACTTTTTCATCTCGCGTGAACGATACAGCGCTGTGAGAAGAATAATTCTTGCCAGGGACATGGCATGTTAAAGCTACCGTTATGGAACAAAAAACAAATTACGCAGTTACGATTAAAATATACGAGATTAAAATATCACGAAGAGTCATAAACAGAATTAAAAAAATTTTAAGTTAGAAATTGTTAAAACATTTAAATACTTCACTTATCGTAATCGCTTCTCGCTCATGTGAAATATGTTCGCGTTTATTCAGATTTCCGGACCAATTACTTTTTGTTAAGTTTTTACGTTATTTATACGTGGAGCGTTTCTCGGGCGGAACATTTTTAAGTAACCTTCCCTCGACATCAATACATCTGCATACCAATTATGTGCGCCTCTGCATCGATAAACTCGCCGAACGTGTAATAAAAGGATAACATTTCAGTCTAACAAAACTGTTTTCATTTCTAAATCCAATCTGAGAGGAAAAGTAAACATCATTCTCATAATTAAAAAAAAACAACGCGTTAGTTAATAACTGTCAATTAAAAACAAATTCAAATTTTTAGATTTTATAACAGCGAACAGCCAAAAATTATATTTTAAGTTATAAAGCGAAACTATTAGAAATGAGCTATATTAAAGGAAGAATTATTATTTATAAAGGGAGAAATTAATAAAATTATATTAGGATCCCTTTCTCTCGATTTATAAGCAGTGTACTCCTTTTGGTGGTACATACATTTAGATTCCGCGGCGACTCGAAATAGCCAAGTTCGAAAAACGTCCACGAGGTGATCCGTATTTCTGCCCGTGTAATCTTTTATACCGCGTAAAAAAAAAAAAAAAAAAAAGCAGAACCGTATAAAGAAGGCACCACGTGAAATCAAAGGGACAGGTGTATCGGTTTTTTTCAATCCCGCTGTCGCTTTGTATGCCGACTGTGCAAAGTTGTAACGGTTATAAAGGGTAACAATGTGGCTCGTGACTGTCCCTGACGAGAGTCGAGCTGTCCGATTATCAAATCACGCGCTCGGGATGCGTCACATCGAGCGAGACCGCCTGCCAGATACAAAGATACAGATCGGACTCCGGCATGCCGCTATCAGGCGGCGATGCCGAGGTCGACGTGCCTGAGACGTCCCCGAATTAACGCGCTCGGACGCGATTTCTAAATCAACCCCGATTGCCAACCACCGGCGGGTAGCGGTGACGGTGGCGGTGGCGGTGGCGGTCGCGGCGGGAAACGTCTAGCAACGACGAAATCCGATCGAATCTTCGAGGTCGGGCCGTCGGGGTGCATTCCCGTGACGTCATCCGTACGTATTTTCGCACGTGCACGAGCGAGAGCAGCATTTCGGATGATCGACCGTGAGGCGGACCTCGAGGGCGCGTTTTTCCCTTCTTACGCAGACGAGCCTAACGAAGCGTTTGTCCATGGCCGAGCTACAAATTAGCGTCAGGAACGACGGTGATGGTGGTGGTGGTGGTGGTGGTGGGGGTGGCGGCGGCGGCGTCGGCCAGCCCCTTGTCGCGCGAGAATCGATAGTCTGCGTGCACGAAAGGCCGATATTGCGCCCTGTACGCTGCTCGACATTACCACCCGCGGCTCCGTTTTCGGCTTCCCTTCCGGCGAATTATATTCCAACGCGCCGGGCTGAGATACGCGGGATCTCGCGAGTACCGCTCGCCCGACTTGCGGTCATACATACTCGGTCGCTCGGTGAAATTGTCGAATCTCGCGATCGTGCCGGTTGACGATGCTGCGACCGATCGAAAGAGAAACTGGCGATCCGAGAAATCAATGAGAAGAGACGTCAGATTGAGCGAAACGTTGGAAATACTGGAGTAGGTCAGACGGAATCGACTGGTTCAATGAGCGCCCAATAGTGACGTGAACGGATCGCGCCGAACAGGGGAATAACTTGCAAGCCGCAGCAGGATGAACGCATTAACGGTTTAACAAGATAATTCACATGGACTCTCAGTCCCTAAGAGCTTAAACGCATTCTGAACACTCGTGGGGTTGGCGCGTGTTCGTGTTTTCTTCCCCTTTCAACGGAAGGGCGTCCTAAAGAGACACCCTCGTGATCGACACGTTTCCACTCGGACACGCAAGGGTTTCTTTCCCTCGAACCCCCTCCCCCCCCCCCCCCTCGACGTCGAGATCCCCCTGAAACGTCTCCTCTTCGGAACTGGCGAAATACCCACCCTCGGTCGCGCTCTCTTCATGTCTCGGAGATCTTCCGCGACATCTCGACGGCACTGCTCCGATTCCCCGTATTCTCCATGTCGCCGAGCTGCGACGATGGCGATGGTGCTCCACGAAGGTATACCCCGTAGGTGACAGACGGTCTCGCACAATAGGCACTATGTTGTCCTGCGTGCTACGTCCTGCGTTCGTACGAGCACGAGTCCTCTCGCTCGACTCCTCTCGTACTCTCTCCCACCCTCAACCCCCTCTCTCT